TTTGTTGAACATCTTTCCAGGCTCTTCTGACTTTTGGAATCTTCACTGAGAAGTCAGGTGTTATTTTAATGGGCCTAACTTCATGTTACTCAGCCTTTTTCCATTACAACTCTCAATGTCCTTTCTTTGCTCTGTACATTTTTTAATTATAATTTTGACTATAATTCATCATGGGGAACTTCTTTTCTGATCCAGTCTATTTGATGCTCTGTATGCTTTTTGTACCTTGATAGGTACCTTCTTCCATAGGTTAGGCAAATTTTCCTGTATGATTTTGTTGAAAATATTTTCTATGCCTTTAAGTATTTGACCTGGGTTTCTTCTTCCTCTATTCCTATTATTTTAAATTTGGTCTTCTCAGAACTGGGTGGTGGTAGCACATCTTTAATCCCACACTTGGAAGGGAGAGGCAGTCAGATCTTTGTGAGCTGGAGGTCAACATGGTCTACAGAAAAAGTTCCAGGACAGTCAGGAATACACATGGAAACCCCGTCTCAAAAAATAACAACAAAACAGGTCTTTTAATTGTCCCAGCTTTAATATTTCCTTTGTTCAAGGTATCCATTTTTTCTATCATTCCTTCAATGACAATTCGCTCTTTTATCTCTTGTATTCTGTTTATGAGCCTTGCCTCTGAGGTTCCAGTTTTCTCATATTTTTCGTTATCTTTGGTTTTATTTCCATTTTCAGATCTTAAACTGTTTTTATTCATTTCTTTCCATTGTTTCCTTGTATTTTCATCAATTTAAGGGATTTATTTCCTCTTTAAGGACCTCTATAATATTCATAAAGGTTATTTTAAGGTCTTTGTCTTTGTTTCCGGTATGCTGCAATTCTCAGGGCCTACTGTGATAGGTTTGCTGGCCTCTAGTGGAGGCATTTTGTCATGACTATCATTGGTTATGATTTTATGCTGGCAGTTAAACATCTGGGTCTGGCAAGACTTTAGACACAGATATCTGATCTTGTCTTCATTGGATGAGTATTTTGTTCCCTGTTTTCTGTTGCCCTGGTTCTTAAGAGGGTGTGGTGGCTGTTGCCTGACAGAGAATTCGTCCAGAACTCTGCTAGGTGAGACCAATGGGGCTCTCAGCAAAACGTGTTTTCTAAGTACTGGGAGCTGATAACTAGTGCTGGGTATGCTGAGGTGGGGGAATTAAGGGAGTCCTCAGGAGGGAGAAAAGCAGGTGCTCCACCAAGATCTAATTCGTCCCCTGGAAAATGGGGCAACAAGTGAGGAATGTGAAGAGCAGGTGGTCTTCAGAAATGGAAAGAGACTAGGGGATTGGATTTGGAGAGAAGGGAGCATGAAGGTCTGCAGTTAGCCTACCTACTTCACTAGCCTGCTTGCTTCTCTGGCAGACTTCACTGAAGGGTTGGTTCCTAGGGAATGCATGCTGGTGCTGGGGGCTAGGATAATGTGATGAGTAGGGCAAGGAAGGTGGGAGGGGAAGATTTGTGTAATCCACTAGAGGTAGAGGCAGAGAGGAAGGAGAGGAAGGAGAGGCCACAGCAGGTGTTTGCTACAGAACTGGAGCCGAGACTAGGGGATTGGATCTGGAAGAGGAAGAAGTGAAGATCTGTAGTCATCCTGCTGTTTCTCTAACTAAAATCTCTCAGCTTTATTTTTTTGTTAAAACACATATGTGTTATATAGTGTTAGAACACAGAAATGTTTTGTGAAATGTATCCTTGTGGGCAGATTTTAAACAGGCTTCATTTTAGTCATGCTAAGCAAAGTAGGCAAAGAAGCAGAGGCGGGGGGGGGGGCTGGAGAGATGGCTCAGAGGTTAAGAGCATTGCCTGCTCTTCCAAAGGTCCTGAGTTCAATTCCCAGCAACCACATGGTGGCTCACAACCATCTGTAATGAGGTCTAGTGCCCTCTTCTGGCCTTCAGGCACAAACACAAACAGAATATTGTATACATAATAAATAAATATTTTAAAAAAGAAGCAGCAGCAGCAGAGGCGTAGCCCGGGTAATGCTTGTCTCTGGCAAACTGTAACTCAAGTTTTCACACTGTCATGCCACATTCTCTATCTTTTTAAAATATATCTTTTTTTTCTTTAAAGTGTGGTGGAAACAACACTTCCTAATAAAGTAGCTGTTGGTAGGCATGTACCTAGCATTTCATAACTGGAGATTTAATTATACAGAGTAACTTGTTACACATTCTTTGACAAACTTACTAACACCTGTGCAGGTACCAATTTCAATGGTATTAGAAATTCATCTTCCAGAGACTGTATTTAACTCAGTGGAATAAAATATTACCACTGTTCACAGCTATTTGAGGTAATTCACAGTTAATTTGTTCAAAGCAATGTGCCAGAATTGTACATTTCTACAAAAATGCTTTTTTAAGATTTCTGGGTGTCACTGTGTATACTGAAGACATTGGGGGGGGGGCATGTTTTGCTTAAAGTTTAGGTAATAAAAATTGGCTGTCAGTGTTGGCACATGCCTTTAATCCCAGACTTGGGAGGCAGAGAAAAGTAGATAGGTGAATTTTATATCAGCCTAGTCTACACAGCAAGTTTCAAGGTCAGATGGGTCTACTTAAAAAGTTCCAGAACAACAAAAGATGCCTAATAAAGAGATCCTGTCTCAAAACAAAAAAAAATGTAAATAAATTAAAATTTTACATACATTAGTAGAAAATGTGTGGTATAAGTCTTTTATGTTTCATACTTAAAACAATATGATCTTGCAGTGGCATTTAGTATAATAATCCCTTTCAAAATGTTATGTGCTAAGTAAAACTTGGTCCACTGTGTGGTGGTAGTGACAAGTGAGTGAACTTCTGCTCGATGATGCTGAAAGGAGGGAAGTAGTACCTGGATCAAGGAAAATGCCACAAAAGAAATTATCGCTAATCTTAATTAGTCTCATAATTTTGCACTATTTTAAATGTGGGACCAAAGAACATTTGCTGTCTCTCTATACATAGCTTGCTCCCTTTCCAACTCTTCAACATGTTGCAAAAGTAGACCCACAGTAGACGCAAAAATGATAAACCTACCTACCTGCTCTTCAATTTTCAACCTCAAAAAGAAACTGTCATCAAAATAAATTTAATTTCCTGAAAAAGTTCTAAACATCAAGTGTTTCATTACAGCAATAGGAAATGGCAGGGCACACTATTTGTCATGATATTTATTATATTAGCTGTTTGAATTATCATATCACAGTTAAGGGATCATTAAGAAAGATCTCTAACATAAAGTTCTAACCTGAGGTGGGTATTCAGTGCTTCTTAAGCAATGTATCAGAACCCTGGCCTCCAGCAGCTCCCAATATCCAGTTAAATAAACAAGAATGCCTCCAGACTTAGTCAAATGTATCCTCGAAGACTGTATCACCACTCATGTTTTATGCTTGGTGAATATTCAAATATTTGCTGTTAAAGTAGTTAATGTTTAACATGATCCGTATTCATATGTATAATAAATGAGAGACATTTATTATATGTATAATGAAGAGAGACATTGGCAAGTCTCTCTTCATTACAATTTCTTATAAAAATACTATAAAAATATTTGGCAATTATCTAATTTATTTCTTCAGTGAGATACCCCTGCATGATAAAAAGCATTCCCAAAAATGATTCATTGTAATTTTCTTCCACAACTGATTCTTCTAGAATTAACCTAGAAATGAAGAATAACAAGGCAGGCTTCTCTGCTGTATGAATGTGCTGATAAAAAGTTATTCACAGCCCTCAGAAAGATTTCTTGTATTCATAAAATGAATTGTCAAGAATGACCTGTTAGTAATACAATGAGAACAGATCACACTTGGGGAAACTAAACATTACATTTATTTCACACTAATGTGCCAGCCATAAAGGACAAAAATAAAGGAGGAAAGACCACTGTTTTCTTCAAACAATTCTTAAATCCCAATAAATTTCTTCCACCTTTAATTGCAACAATATCCTTAGGGTCACCTTCGCTTTTCTTTGACATAAACTGGGAAAAAACTGCCTGCTGTTTTTTGGGTTGCCATCAGTGAGTTCATAGTGTCCCAGCAGAGCTCACTTAACTTGTAGCGGCTACAGTGGAGGCAGAAAATTGCAGACTATGTCCAGAGGTAAGAAAATGGTCTCTGCAGGACACGTGGCCACTCTGCTACTCAGCATTATTTCTCTGTACATATTTTGTGATATATGTCAATGCTTACTTTCTAAATGGTCTTGATGTTCTTCCATGTCATAAGACTTCCCTTAGATTGTACTGTCTGATGCTTGCCTAGCTGTAATACATGGGCTTCCAATATTATTAGAGGCTTTCCTCTCTCAAGAGGGTTCTCTGATCCATGCTGTGGTCAATTTCTACTGGAAGGCTCCCACAATCACCCCATTCCCAGAGATCTTCCACAAAGGACTATTTCATATTTAACAAGCAGTGACTTCCAGATAGTTTTCTAATGGTTACATTTCTTGAAGAGATTTTTGCCAGTGTGGACTTTCTCAAGCATATTAAGACATGAATGATGCCAAAACGGTTTTCAACTTTATATTCATAGATTTTTCTCAATTATGTTATAAAAAGTATTTACCATACTCGTGGCTTTCACTGAGTTTCTCTCCAGTCTGAGTTATCTCAAATATACTGAAGAAAAAAACGTGTTTAAAACTTCTATATTCTTTACATTTCATGTTTCCTCCTATGTAAATAAATATTTAGATGCATTCCAAGTTTAGACCTGTGGTGCGGGAGAATTGTATGTATTCTGTCAATCGTGTTTTAAATAAAACGCTGATTGGCCAGGCAGGAGGCGTAGGTGGGAAAACCAGACAGGAAGTGGAAATGATGCAAGGAGAGCAAGAGAATTCTGGGGAGGAGGAAGCTGATTCCTCCCACTCCTGCCCAGACCACCAAAACAGCAGGATGTGATCTGCCCCACTAAAAAAGGTACTGAGCGACATGGCTAAAATAGATCAGAAAAATGGGTTAATACAAGTTACAAGAGCTAATAAGTAGCTTGATATAATGGGCCAATCAGCTTTATAACTTATAGAGATCTCTGTTTAATTTTTCTCTGGGACTAAACAGTTGGGGGGTGGGGTGGAACAGAAACCCCAACAAGCAGGCCTCTCTTATGTTACAGACCTGTAGTATGGGACATTTTTCCACATGTATTACATTTATTAAAATTCCCTCTTGTGTAGGTTTTTTCATACCATGTTAAGGGCAAGTTCTGGTGGGACTTGCCCTCACATCCATTCCTAACTCTTGTCAGCCCTGTGTAGGTCCTCTCATGTTAACTGAAAGCTGTTCTACAGAAAGAACACCTACCCCACTCACACTCAAGGGAATTCCTAGAGTACTGCAAACATTCTGAGGCTTGAATGTCAGGCAAACATCTTTCTGTACCCATCCCCATCATACATCCCGATGTCTATGAGTTCTCTGATGCCTAATTAGGTTTGATTTCTGTGAAAACGTTTTTCTACATACATTACATTCGTAGGGTTTCTTCCCAGAATGAATCAACTCATGTACAATGAGAGATGATTTATAGCCAAACATTTTCCCACACTGACAGCATTCATAGGGTTTTTCACCTGTGTGAATTCTATAGTGCTTACTGAGGACTAACTTCCACTGAAATGTTTTCCCACACTTATTACATTCATAGGGTTTCTCACCTGTATGAATTATCTGATGCTTGTTGAGATATGACTTGTTTTGAAAGGCTTTGCCACACTGTTTACATTCATATGGTTTCTCACCTGTGTGAACTTTCTGATGAGTTTTGAGGTATGACTTATTTTGAAAGGCTTTTCCACATTCTTTACATTTGTGTAATTTCTCACTGTTGTGGATTCTCTGATGCCTCCTGAGGTCTGACTTTTGGTAAAAGGCTTTTCCACACTCGTTGCATGCATAGGGCTTCTCACCAGTGTGAGTTCGAAGGTGTATGTTGAAGTATGACCTGTTATGGAAGGTTTTTCCACATTCTTCACATTCATATGGTTTATCTCTTTTGTGAGTTCCCTGATGTATTTTGAGGTATGACTTCTTTAGAAACGCTCTTCCACAGTCTTGACATTCGTATGGTTTCTCACCTGTGTGAGTTCTCTGGTGCATTTTGAGATACCACTTATGCTGGAAGGCTTTACCACACTCACAACATTCAAAGGGTTTCTCACCAGTGTGGGTTCTCTCATGTACAACAAGGGCTGACTTTTGCCTGAAGCTTTTATCACATTTACTACATCCATAGGGCTTTTCTCCTGTGTGAATCCTCTGATGAGTAGTCAGGGAAGATTTAGTGCTAAAGAGTTTCTCACACAGGATACATACGTGGGCTTTCTTCTGGTCATGTGTCCTCTGATGAACTGAAAGGTCTAATTTGCTAGTAAAGGTTTTCTTTCTTTTAAGGCATTCACAAGGTTTGCTCCCTGAGTATGTTTCTTGGTGTTCAGTGAGGTTACATGTTTCACCAAAAGTTGCCTTCCCTACCTTAACCATGACATCCGACTCAACAGAGACTTGCTCATATTCATTACGCTTATACAAAGTCAGGCCCATCTGAAGTCTGTTAGATGGAGTAATTCTTTTCAGTACTTTTGCCTCCTTTGTATCTTTTCCTTTTCCACTGTGTTCAAAATCCTGCTGCCCAGTTTGAATCTTGGAATGTTGACCAAATTGCTCAGGAAAACTGAGGGATTTTCCTGCTACACCACAGTCATTATATTGCTTTAAAGTGTATATGCCATGAGACTCAGAAGGAAGACATGTATTCTGGTATCCATTCAACTCCTCAGGCTTCACTCCTGAACATTCTCTATTATTTACAACAAAATTTGAAATCTTCATGGAGCAAAAATAAAAAGTGTTTTCTAATCCATCTGTTTCCTCAGTTGCTCTATTGTGGCTATTGGCAGTAACTTGCCATAAATGTCTGTCTTCACATTTCTGGTTGGTCTCAATTGTGCCATCCACATTGTAGAAGCCTAAAAGGACAAAAAAAGAAACAAAAAAAAAAAAAAAAAAACAACCTTCAGGTTTTCTAGTGAAATTCTCATGTTCATGCCAAGAAATTTTTTCCTATACTACTAGGATAGTGATTCATTAAGATCATATTAAGTACTAGTTTATAAACTTCATTTTTTTATTCTAACATACTGAAACACAATGATAGATTAACACATTCTTCCTCACTTTATTTTATTTTTGTGAAGTAATATTTTGTTAAAATATCCACCAATTTCTATGACCTTTTCTTTCTGGCATTCTCTTTTTTCTGGTCTAAAGGGGCAATAATTTCTACCTCTTCTTTGCAGATTATGAGAAAAGTCCAATAGGCTGCTTCCTAACCTGAGGTCTCCCTTATGACCATGCATTTACATCTTTATTTGTTTAGAGTTATTATTTCAGGAGTGATCATGGATTATGAGTTTTCAAACATGAGATTCCTTTCTTTCCACATCCACACAAAATAGATATCAGTAATTGAGGTCTTAATTGAACAACATGTCCTGCTCTTTTCAGAATCAGAATAAATACAAGAAAACCCACCACCACCCTGGAGAAATGAGCATGCTGTACATCAGCTCTAAAATGTCTGGCTACTTGTGATACCAAGAGCTTTGACATTCACCTCCAAATTGCTGATACACACTCCTATGTCTGATAATCCATAGATTCTCAAGGATGTTATCATGACATGTTTACAGAAACTTTACTTCTTCTAGTTTCATAGAAGATGGAATCTTATGCTATTTCTCATTATCTTTGTTGCTTTAGAATGAGAGAAAGAAAATAGAGGGAAGTACTGCATTCAAACTATAATCCCCATTTTAAAAAAAAAACAGCTTGGGTTCTTCAATATGAAAACTTGTTTCACTTTTCCTTGATTCTTTCTCAAGTGGGAGCTCCCCTTCCTATGCTGGAACCTCGTTATGGTTTCTTAGATCATGCCTCACAAGCCTTAACTTGTAGGTCTCTTCCTGTATTTTATTATCAACTACCTAAGTGAAATACTCTATAACTTTAAAGATCATCTGTTACTCATTCTACTCTGGTTCAACATTACAGTTGTTTGGGACTCCTTAGTGTAATATCTGTCTTTTATCAAAATATTATTTCCATGAAGTAAGGATATTATTTTTATATTTTTATCGATGAACAAATATAAAATGACCAGCACTTGAAATATGTCTCATTAAAATGTGCTAAAAAGATAGGGCTAGAGAGATGGCTCAGTGTTTAAGAGCACTGGTTGCTCTCCCAGAGGACCAAGGTTCAATTCCCAGTACCCACATGGCAGCTCACAACTGTCTGTAACTCCAGTTCCAGGGGATCTGACACCTTTACACCAATGCACATAAGATAAATTTAAATAAATTATTTTTTAAATGTGCTAAAACTGATAGCTTATGCTGGAGATGATATGGAGTAAGGGGAACACTAATCCATTGCTGGTGGGAATGCAAACTTCTACAACCACTTTGGAAATCAATGTGGCGGTTTCTCAGAAAATTGGGAGTCAACCTACCTCAGGATCCAGCAATACCACTCTTAGGAATATACCCAAACGATGCTCAAACATACTACAAAGGCATTTGTTCAACTATGTTCATAGCAGCATTATTTGTAATAGCCAGAACCTGGAAACAACCTAGATGCCCCTCAATGGAAGAATGGATAAAGTGTGGCACATCTACACATTAGAGTATCACTAAACGGTAGAAAACAATGACATCTTGAATTTTGCAAGCAAATGGATGGAATTAGATAACACTATCCTGAGTGAGATAACCCAGACTCAAAAATATGAACATGATATGTACTCACTCATTAGTGGATTCTAGCCATAAACAAAGGACACTGAGCCTATAGTTCAGATCCTAGAGAAGCTAAGTAATAAGGTGAACCCAAAGAAAAACATACATAGACCCACCAGGAAATTGGAAACAGGCAAGATCGCCTGACAAAATTTGGGAGCATGGGGGTGGGGGGTGGGGTAGAAGGAAGGGGAGAAGGGAAAGAGGACGGGAGAAGGAGAGGGTTGGAGAGAGCTTGAGGGAATGGTATAGTTGAGATGGAAGAAGGACAGATATGAGAGCAAGGAAAAAGATATCTTGATTGAGGTAGCCATTTTGGGATTAGCAAGAAACCTGGAACTAGAAAAATTCCCAGGAATCCACAAGGATGACCCAGCTAGGACCCTAAGCAATAGAGGAGAGGGTGCCTGAACTGGCCTTGCCTTTTAGTCAGACTGAATATTATCTTAAATATCACCATAGAACGTTCATCCAACAACAGATGGAAACAGAGACAAGAGACCCACATCAGAGCACTGGACTGAGCTCCCAAGGTCCAGTTAAAGAGCGGAAGAAGGGAGAGTATAAGCAAGGAAGTCAAGACCATGAGGGGTTCACCCACTGAGACAATGTGCCAGAGTTAATGGGAGCTAACCAACCCCAAATGGACTGAGAATGAACAAGCATAGGACCAAACTAGTCCCTCTGAATGTGGTTGACAATTGGGGCAGACTGAAGGGTTAATGACAATGGCACTGGGATTTGTCTCTACTGCATGCACTGGCTTTTTGAGATCCTATTCTCTTTGGATGTATACCTTGCTCAACCTAGATGTAGTAGGGAGGGTCTTAGACTTTCCGTGCCTTGCCCTCTCTTAACATTGGAGGGAGCTGGGGGGGAGAATGTGTGGAGGGAGTGGGAGGGGAGTGGGAGGAGGGGAGGAAGTGATAATTTGGATTGGTATTTTTTTAAAGTAATAAAATAAAATAATAAAAACAGAAAGAAAAATCACAAAAAAAGTGCTAAAACAAAAAACACATGAAAAAAATGTATGAAACAAAATCCCCATGAGACTGGAGTTTAAGAGGCAACTGAAACTATGGAAAAAGGAAGTACCAGAGACAAACATCAAATAACAGAAGTCAACAATTAGACTTCAGGGGTAAATCTTAGAAAATTTTCGTCAAATTGAAAAGTAGAAACATATTCAAGAGAATTCTTCTTGTAGACTATGTAATGAACAAGTCTGAGCCCTTAGATATGGAACTTAGGATAAATTAGTAAAACAGCCAACCTGTGCTAGACATGATCTCCCCATTCATGAGTACCGACTAACCTGACATACTCTGGTTTGTAGATTCGTCTGTTGTCCATGGCTCTGCTCCCTGTTCCAATCTGAAGATTAACTCAGGTTTAGGGATGCACTGTCCTGTTAATCAGAAATAATGTAGGACTTAGAAAAATTATGCTAATAAGGTTCTTTGAAGAAAGACAAAACCAGGTTTCAGGATCTACGCAGCAAACATACAAATGTGGCCCTTTCACTAGAGAGCAGTGACAATCATGGAACCCGTAGCCCAGCACCTTATCCCTAAACAGCTTTAAATCTCACACTTGCTCATACATTTACTACAGTGAAATGGCTTGCTCCTTAGACTTACTTACCCAGTGACACCAGGCTGCTGTACGTCTCCAACATCACATTCCTGTACAGCACCCTCTGAGCATCATCGAGATTCTGCCACTCCTCCCAGGTGAAGTTCACAGTGACATCCTCAAATGACACCAAGTCCTGTAACAGCACATTTCTCCTCGATTACTCTATGCTTATAAACAGGAACCTGAGGTCTCATGTGCATTTTACATTATAATTTGTCTTGCTTATGTAGTGGAGAAAAAGAAACACCAAAGAACTATCCTGAGGTTATTGATTTATTAATGGATTACAATAATTACCTTATAGATTCAAACCTTAACTGTTGGTATAAGAGAACCCAGGCCATTCAGGTAACCAGGCCTTAACTACATAGGGCTGTACATGAGACATAAACACATGCAGACCTCGCTCTGCCTCCTAGGGGTTGGAGGCAGCCTGAATACTGTTATGCTGTATGGGTCATGCAATAATAATCCCTACCCCCCAAAGAAAGAGGGACCCTTGTCACCAAGTTTTATATGCCCTACTCTCCTACCTCAATCTTGCATCAAAAGTCATAAGCTTTTTTTGTTTAGTTGGTTTGGGTTTTTTTTTTTTTTTTTCTTGGTTTGGTTTGGTTTGGTTTGGTTTTTCGAGATAAGGTTTCTATGTGTAGCTTTGGAGCCTGTTCTGGCAATAGCTTTGTAGACCAGGCTGGCCTCGAACTCACAGAGATCCACCTACCTCTGCCTCCCAAGTGCTAGGATTAAACCACCACCTGGCTCAAAAGTCATATGCTTTGTGCAAGACCTCCCCTTTCTCAGAAACATTTGAAAGTTTAACCTTTGCTTCACTTGGCATGGCTGAAACTCCCCTTCAGAACCCTGTCTCAACCACACAAGCAAGCACACACCACAGTAATAGTCTTATAGTCCTATACATAGCATCACATATAGGTGAATGAACCTGTACGGTGACAACAGGAAAACACAAAACTGAAGGAACTGGTCACGGAGTGAATGACTCTGCAGTTACATATCTTTACATATCTAGACTAGTAGTTTCTTTTCTTTCTTTCTTTCTTTCCTTTTTTTTTGGTTTTACAAAACAGGGTTTCCCTATGAAGCTCTGGCTGTCCTGGAGCTATATATTCACCATATAGTCCAGACTAGCTTAGAACTCAGAACTGAGTGCTGGAATTAAAGGCAAGTGCCACCACCCACTTGATATCAATGGTAAGTGCATGTCAGAGGAGCAGCAGGTGGCAAGTGAAGGAGGTCTGCCCGCCAGGAAGCAAAGCTCTGATGGGTGAATCTCAGATAGGCAAAGCACCGAGGGCTTCGGCCCCATAATGTCTCTTGCTACTGCTGTACCTTTACAGGTTTGCTGCTGCCATTTTTCTCTGGTATTTGGCATGGTGTGAATGGGCATGGGGAAATCCCCACTGTCTTTAATGTAGTGTGATTATCTCATGGAAATATCCTGTGGACATTTCCCCTGTGGACTATGGTGAGATGATTTCCTCCTAAGCTCTACTGTTTAACTGAACCAGTGATTTTAAACTGGTTTAAACCAGTTTATTATTATTATTATTTTAATAATATTTTAATATTATTTAATAATATTTATAATATATTATTATATATTATTATTTTAATAATATATTATTATTATTTTAACAATAACTATTTTAACAAATAGTGTTAGTTTAAATAGGATTTTGATGATTGAGGGTCTTTAATAAATATAGTAAGGGATTACAGTTTATTAAATATAGTAGGGAAATTAATACAGGTAAAAGCAAGATATGGTGTAGCCCCTATACCTGTGATAAAGCAGGGGCTGCAGAGAACAGAAAATATCCACACTGCTACTTTCTCTTGAGGAGCCGTACAGACTGTGACTTAGCTTAATGATTAAGAAAAGCAACTGAGTCCCAGAAGCCCAACTAGCTCAAATTCTTTTAATCTTTATGTTGGGAGATGTGTTCGCAGGTTTTGGTGTGTATCATAGCTAAAACAAAGCTTTAAATAATGACTTTAGGTTAAGTTAAGATGTTTTTGTTAATGCCTTTGAGGTTAAAAAAAAATCTTGGAAAACAACTTAAAGGCTAAATTTTATTAATTAGTTCACCCACTCTGTGGCGTCCCCCTCAATCCCTGAGCTGCTGGACACTGGTCCTCATGGCAGCAATAGGTAAGTTTTATATGCCTCTTGGTCCTGTCCCTCGCTGGCTACAACACTAGGGAGAACTGGTCCTGCCCCTCACCAGCTGCAGCACTAGGGAGAGCATGCCCTGCACCTCACCTGGGCAGCACAGTAGAGCTGACCATGTTGATGGGGACATGAATGAGCCACCGCAAGAACCTGAACATGGGAGATCTGGCCCTGCTCTTCATCTAGCACACAGTGGCAAGGGTAAGGAAGAGATTTACACACACACACACACACACACACACACACACACACACACACCATATCTCACTGCCTGTGGCAGGTGGGAGAGCAGGCCCTGAGGTCATGAAAGCAGGAGCACTAGCCCTGTCCCTCACCAGCCGCATCACTCAGAGAACAGGTCGTTCATCTCGCCCGGGCAGCACAGCAGAGCTGAAAGCATGAGCATAGGAGAGCTGGCCCTGCCCTCTCTGCCTCAGGTGTAGAGGACAAGCGAAAGATTCCCTCAGCTCCTCACTCCTTGCCACCTGCAGCAGGCAAGAAAGCTGACCATACTTACACCTCACATGGCAAGGACAAGAGACCCTGCTGATGCCTGCACAGGTGAGCTGGCCCCAAGAATGTGAGCATGGGAAATATGACACCACCCTCATATGCCATATTGGGAGAGATGCCCTACCCACCAACCCTTGCCTGTGACAGGAGAAAGAGTTGGCCCTGCCCCTCACCATCTGCAGCACTTGAGAGAGTGGTCCCTGAATCTCACTCACCTGGGTAACATAATACAATTGGCCCTGGTGGAGTAGGTGGAGGTGAGCTATCCCTAAGGATGTGAGAGCAGGAGAACCAGCCCCACCCTTTGCTGCTGCTACACAGGATGAACGAGCCAGGGCAGTGCTAGAGCGCTCACCTTGGTAGTGAGGATGAGGGAGAGTTGGCAGGCTGTCCAATCCAGCAACCACCCAGACCCAGAATCAGGGCTATAAGTTGGTCCATCCCCAACTCTCTGGATAAATATCACTTACCAAAATTAAATCAAGACCAGATAAGCAAATTAAATAGACCCATAACTGCTAAAGAAATAGAAACAGACATCAAAAGTCTCCCAACGAAAAAAAGCCCAGGACCAGATGGTTTCAGCTCAAAATTGTTTCACCTCAGAATTCTATAAGATTTTCAAAGAACTAATACCTATTCTCCTCAAATTGTTCCATACAATAGAAACAGAAAGAACATTGCCAAGCTCTTTTTATGAGGCTACAATTTCCCTGATACCCAAACCACATAAAGACATAATACCTTGAAATTTGCAGGCAAATGGATGGAGCTAGAAAACATCATATTAAGTGAGTGAGTTCACCCAGACCCAGAAAGACAATTATCACATGTACTCACTCATAAGTGGCTTTTAGACATAAATCAAAGAAAACCAGCCTACAATTCACAATCCCAGAGAACCTAGACAACAATGAGGACCCTAAGAGAGACATACACGTATCTAATCTATAAGGGAAGTAGAAAAAGACAAGATCTCCTGGGTAAATTGGAAGCATGGGGATCATGAGAAAGGATTGAAGGGGAGGGGAGAAAAAGGGAGGGGAGCAGAGAAAAATATATAGCTAAATAAAATCAATTTTAAAAGTTTAAAAAAAGGGCTGGAGAGATGGCTCAGTGGTTAAGAGCATTGCCTGCTCTTCCAAAGGTTCTGAGTTCAATTCCCGGCAACCACATGGTGGTTCACAACCATCTGTAATGAGGTCTGGTGCCCTCTTCTGGCCTGCAGACATACACACAGACAGAATATTATATACATAATAAATAAATAATTTTTTTAAAAAAAAAAGCTTAAAAAAATAAAATAAGTTGGTCCATTCCATTATCCACCTCATCTATGATCTGCTGAAGGACGTGAAGAGGCCAGTCTTACAGATCCAAAGCTTCAGGATCTCCACAGCACAGAACAATAACAGGATATCTAAGCAGAGTTCCAGTGAAGGCCCAGTATCAATAATGTAGCAGACACCAGAGGCTTCATGACCTCTGACTCTTGATGTGTCTCTGACTCTTCATGAACTCTGATTTGCAATGAACACTTGCAAGTAAAGATATATAGACTAAAAGAATACTGTGTGACTCAATATGCCATGCAACAACTTCCACAATGAGATTTTTCTTTCCATTCCTTTTAAATTTTATTTGGGGGAGGGAGGGGCAGGTTGTAAGGGCAGAGGGCAGATATGAAGGAACGGGGAGGTGAATGGGATTGGGGTGCATGATATGAAATCCACAAATAATTAATAAAAAGTTTTTAAAAAGAGAGAGAAGGAAAGGAAAAAAGGCAAGGAAGGTAGGAGAGTAGAAATGGGGACAGTTCAGGGCGTAGTTCATAATAGGTAAATGCTTAATGTTCATGGGACACGGGGTTCAAACCCCAATGCATACAAACACACAAATTAAAAGTAAAAAGAGTCTGAGTATTTGGCTGACATTAGTGAAAAAAAGATGGTTAATTGCAAATGGAGTCATTTGCTAGAGAAAAAGAATAGCAATTGAGAGACTTGCAAGAGCCAGAGAACAGAATGAAGACACATGAAGCATGGCCTTGGACTAGGCTTTCAGCAAAGAAACTGTCATGGGTGTCTAATGGGAATATATGCCCAAGTCAGTATACACAGGGTAGCCCTACATCCCACCACCCTTGTCTTCTCCTGAGTGCCTATAATGTGTGTTTTTGCCAACCTCTTCACTGTGTGCTGGATGTGTATGGAAGGCAGGTTAACAGGCACTCAACCATGATTTCATCCAGTTCCATAACTGGAAGCTTCATGGTGGAAATGACAGTGATCAAAGATATTTTCAATCTGGGAGAAATAGGAATAATGTACAGCAATAAGAAAAACCATAATTTCTTAATTGTTGCCATAATTACTACTAATAGGAGTTGAAGTCGAATTCTCTCCATAAATTTGGCCAGGTCTTATTGATGGTCAGACTATAAATAAAATAGCAATATGTAACCAAGTGGGGAATAAACAACTCACCATATATTCATTCATGATGTTTGCAAGTTGCTTGTTTGTGGCTTTGCCCTTGAAAACACACAGGTGATACCAGAAGCACAGTTGAGAAAAGAAAACTAGGGGAGAGTCATGTGTGTGAGAGGGTATCCATGGTTTGGTCCTAGATTCTTCGCTCAAAACACTATGCAATTAGCTGAAAAAGAAGAAGAAAAAAATAAAATTGTAAGAAAATTTCCTAGGGGCTGGAGAGATGGCTCAATTGTTAAGAGCACTGGCTGTTCTTCCAAAAGACCCAGGTTCAATTCCCAGCACCCACATGGTAGCTCACAACTGTCTGTAACTCCACTTCCAAGGGATCTGGAGCCCCCACACAGACATACATGAAGGCCAAACACCAATGCACACAAAAATAAATAAATCTAAAAAAAAAAAAAAGCAAAAGAAAATAGTCCCATCTACAAGAAAGTGCAACAAAGATATCATTGACAATGGACTCAACAAGTACAGTCAGAGCCATTCCACATGAAAGCTATGGCTGAGTTCACAAGCACTAACATCAGCAAATAATGAACAATTTGGTAACAGTTAACATTCCCTTCCAAAAGTACTTAATAACTGAAACCAGAGAAATTATGTTTTCCCTATCATTAACACAGAAATGTAGCTGTTACATGAAATATTCTATTAATCCACCCAAATGGGCTCCATATAAGCACTTCCTCTACATTACTTCTTCCTTTATATAGCTCATTTTCATGGAAAATATGCAGATTGCAAGATTTTTTTTCCCCATGCTTATCCAGGATTAAAAAAAAACAATTTCTTATAGGGCATTGATTGCTACAGTAATGTTTCCAAGTGGGGCATCTCCACGTATCCACACCCTCATTTAGTTCCCATGGTTACTATGAGCCGTTTGACCCATTTGACCAAGTGAACTCAGTAAATATGAAGACACCCTAAGCTTGGAGAGTATTTCCTGACTAGTACTGACCCACTAGGCACGGTTATGCTGTGAAGAGCTTCAGTGTGAGCTTGATGAAAATGGAGCTTTGAGCAGACTCAGCAAGAACCACTAACGGTGAGACAGAACACCCGAATGAAGAGGCTCAAAGCACTGATGACTCAAACCTCATTCGTCACTGAAGGCAGGAAAATACAGCAACTTCCCAGCGGAGACCAGTCCAGATATCGACCTACAGGAATGTGAAAAAAAATTAAATTGTTCTTTAAAGCAATATTTTTGTTGATGTGTTGTACAAGAAAGGCTGATACATTTAAAGACTAAGAATTCAATTATTTTAATATATAATAGGAAATAGTTTCCAAGCATGACAAACACAACAGAAAGTATTCTGTAGCCAGATGCCCAAGATTTGAAAATCACAGTAAGAATAGCTGAAGTTGCCAGGCAGTGGTGGTACACGTCTTTAATCCCAGCACTTGGGTGGCAGAGGCAGGTGGAGCTCTGTGAGTTTGAGGCCAGCGTGGTCTACAATAGCTAGTTCCAGGACAGGCTCCAAAGCCACTCAGAGAAACGCTGTCTCAAAAAACCAAAAAAGAAAAGAATCCTGAAGTCACATGATTCAAACAAGTAGTGTCTGGCTACAAAGAGAACGTCTAAGCTTTTAAACAGAAAGGCTGCCACTTTCATGTGAGTGTGGCATTTTGTAGTATTTACATGTATAGGTTTACATGCATAAGTTTCATGTGATCTCATTTTCCATTTTACAAAACTGAGACTGATTCCTATTATTTTCATTCTTATGAATTTTGGTTAACAGAATGCCAGCATTAAGTAAAACACTTCTATGTTTAACCTTTAAGGTTCTATAATATACAGAATGTATTGATGATAACAAGGGTAAGAAACTGAAGACAAGGTATTTGGAAAGTGTTTGAAAACTGGTCACCTTGTTCAGTGGTAAAGCATTTGTGGATCACACTCAGACACTAGATTTCAACACCAAGAACAGAAACACACAAATCTAAGACATGTATACATGGTAACTAGAAATCAGTATTAGGAAAAACACAAACATTAGTTTTTGTTAACTGCATGGTAAACAGACATACATGCAGACAATATACTCAGACATACAAGATTAATTGAAAGAGCTCACACACTGGAAACACTGAGGGAAGAGGAAGGGAAAAGTAAACTAACCGACCACTGATTCAGTCAGGTGTGACAGGGCACCCCTCCACACTAGATCACAACTTCCAGATACAACAAATATTTCCCAGGCCCTTGCCGATCTTTTTCAACTAAGCTGGTAGAAGAAAGCTAACCTCAGCCTTCTGAAGAGGATCAAGCCCCTACCACCCATATATTGATAGCTTCTGAGAAGGTGGTAGCTTTGACCAAAAATTGTTCTAAGCAACGGGATCAGCAGCTGCTTAGGTCATGCAAGGCTACAAGATGCACCTACACTCTGCCTCCGCTCAAATGTACTAGTTGTGGAGGGAAGGCCATTCATTAATAGTAGATCTTGCCTGCTGTGGAGCAGGTTCCCACTAGAGAACCTCCACAGGACTGAGATTGTTTGCATGCCCATTACACAGCTGGAATTGCATCCACAGTAGCTCTTGCTTAACTCCCTAGAGATGTACACTGCCTTGTGTGGACTGATCTTCACACATCATGTATCACATGCACACAAAGAATCTCCCTCTGACTGAACAAGCATCCCTCCGAACTCAACCACAGCTCATTAGCCTATGAGGCAGATGGTACTCTAGTCATTGCCCAGCCTGCAGCTCTGTTGCATTATATTCAATAAACACACTTCCTATTCTGGTCTAAAGGGCAAATTCGTTCACAGCTCTGCAATCCTTCCCTGTTCAGGCCACCAACATAGTAGGCTGAGCATTAGGGTAATGAGGAAGGAATCGGTAGTCCAGATGGGCCACTGTACAGTTCTGAAACGTGAATGTGTCATGATGTACAGGTAACTTTCAATTATGCCATCTCTGTCATGAAGATGCGGACAGACCCTGTTAATCGCAGTAAGTTTTAGTCAGAGGGGGCTGTATCACAAGGTCCTGCAGTTCTGTGGAGTTAGGCTGCAGCAGTCTAAGGCCTGGACCCAGAGCTAATTCCCTACCAGGACCCAGCACTTCCTGGTCTCTTATTAAAGGTTTTCCTCCACACTAGCAGGATGAAGTTCCTCCTGATGAAACACCCTCCTTCAGAACTTGAAACCCCCTACTTTGTTCCCAAGAAAATGTTCCTATTTCAATACTTGAATCTTCTGAGAGACCTTCTTGTCTCTGGTGACTTGCAAAAAACGAAACAAAACCTTCTAAGACAGTGGCTCTCAACCTTCCTAATGCTGTAACCACGTTCCTCACGTCATGATGACCTCCAACCATAAAATTATCGTCGTTGCTACTCTATAACTGTAATTTTGCTACTGTTAATGAATCATAATGTAAATATCTGATATGCAGGATGTCTAATATGCGACCCTTGTGAAAGGGTCGTTTGACCCATAGGTTAAGAACCGCTAAGAACTCAAACCTAGAGTGCCAAACTGGCCACTGTCAAGCCCAAAAAAAGTCACTTCCTTAAGAGACAGGAAATTTAACGAATACAATTGCCAATACGCGACAAGATCTACAGTCACCACGTGAGAATTTCCCCAGGAATTTCGGGGTCAATTCATTAGGATAATAAACACCCTCTTTCATACGGACTGTGGGTTACAGGCCCCCTTCTCGCTCCAGCACTGTAGTATCAACTTACACTTTCCCAAGCTCGCAGTTTGGGATTTCTGGGTCATTCTAGTGAAAATTCCCAGTTCTGTAGTCTGGTCTCCTATTAGTGGTCTTTTTCCACCCCCAACCCCGCCTCAAAAAAAAAAAAAAAAAGTCACACAGGTAACAGGATTCATCACTGGCAGCAAGGACTGGAATGTGAGCTCACACCGCAGTCCGCCCCCCAACCCCCAGTCTGGCAATCTAAAGACACGCACCGCCCTCACCCCCAAGTCGCCATCTTGGCTTCTTGGGCTCTCACCTCCCTGGCAGAGCTTCTGTAACGGCCCTTTGTTGGGGTCACAGACCCGGACACCTTTTAGGGCAGTCTTCTGACACAGCAACCGTGAAAGCACTGTCCAGATCGTCTGATCCGACTGGGCACGGTGGGTCCCGCAATCTCCTTCCAGACCCGCTCTGGTCTGCTCTCGCACTGCGTCTCAGTCCCACCAAGACCCACCTATATTTCTGTTTCCAGCTTCCGAGGGTTCGGGTCCCGCTTCCGAGGATTGCGACTCTTCCCTTCCTTCTTCGCACCCTCTCCAGGAAGCCCGCACCAAACTCGCAACCCTAGAGACTGCGTCAGCACAACGCCAGGCCGCGACTTTCCAAGCCAGAGTTCCCAGGAGAGTGCTGCATGGAGGAGCTTACCCACTACCTGAGCCCCGGAGGGATGGCCTCGTAGGTGAGGGACTACATTACCCATGAGCCTCTGAGTAACTATGGCAAGAAGAAAAGGACATTTCCCACCAAATCCACAATCGTAATTACCAGGAATAGTAGATTTCAGAATAGGTACCCGCTTTATAACAATGATATGACATTCCTCACCTTTCTCTCATTCGAACCCCAGGTGTCGCAAAGCAGTATAGAAACTGAGAAGGAAGCTCCAGTGTATTCATTATAGAAACAGACTAAGTATCTCTGTGGGAGACACTGAAAAAATCGGTATGATATTGTGGGATATTCACCAGGGAAGATTGCTTTCTATAGGTTTAAACCAATAGAAAGTCTTTATTAGCCGGCTGGCGACTACCCTGAGGGTTCAGAATCCCAGTGACACCCCGAGTCTTCCTCGGGGTGAGATTTAAGCACAAAAACCATGTCCTTAGTTGCTTCAATTAACAAGAATAGTTACCCAGAAGAACTACAGAAGCCAAAAACCAAGGTTAGGATTTAGAGACTTTCCTATAACTATGGGCTTTGATAAATTAGGCCTTTGTTTTAGGTTTGTCAGGCGGTGTTGTCTACGTGCTGAGTTTAGCAGCCTGAATGGCACTCCCATCATGGAGTGAGTCAGTTGTGCTACGGTCTCAGTGGTACTTCCATCATGGAGTCAGCTGCGCTACCGTCTCAGGGCCTACTAACGTCTGGGGCCCTGTTACAAAATCTTATGATGGCTGCCCAGAGCACCGCTGGGAGCTGAATGCTTAGCAATCTCAAAAGCCTATAAACTACTTCCAACATCACCAGTCAGTTGTCAAATTCAACGTTCTGCTGATACTACACAGTAATTTTCCACCATTTGGGACCTCTTAAGAGAAGGAAATAACAAGAAACTATGTAAATAGACAAGAGACAAAAGTCAAGATATTTCCTGTATAGGAATAATTGAAATCTGAAATGAAAAAAAGTCACTTCCTGCCAGGCAGTAGTGGTGCATGGCTTTAATCCTAGCACTCAGAAGACAGAGGCAGATCTCTGAGTTCAAAGTTAGACTGGTCTACAGAGAGAGTTCCAAGACAGTCAGGGCTACACAAAGAAACCTTACTTCAAAAAAAAAAAATCACTTCCTAAAATTTAAATTATTTTCAAAAGTCTTCAAAAGTGAACTAATAGAAGCTGGGAGTGGTAGACACATCTTTAAACCAAACAGAGGGATTAAGGGAGGCAGATGTGGGTGGATCTCTGAGTTCTAGTCTATCCTGGTCTACAGAGCAAGTTCCAGGACTACCAGAGAAAACCTGTCTCAAAAAAGAAGAGGAGGAAGAGGAGGAAAAGGAAAAAAACCAGAAACCAGAAAAACACGAAATGAGTTTGTAAGACTTTAAGACAATTCTGACGCCATTTTTGACAATTCTAAACCCTCTCATCCTCCATGCCTTAGTGCTTCCCCTCCTCCCCTATTAACCAAGGACCTAACAGCTACTCATGCACGTACTCAGTTCCTGAACAATTACCCATACACGTATGTTTTGACTCAGTCCCCTGGGAAACGGTGTCAAAATGACCTCTTACCTCATCTGATCTGACAATAGCTCTCCAGCCAATTATTGGTATTAGCCCTTTGCGAATAAGCCAATCATAATGATCAAGGAACAACCCCTCTTGTTTCTATGGGGCCTTCTCCTTTAAAAGTAGACTGTACCAGCTATTCGAGGTCTCTCGGCTTCCCAAATGCTGAGGGACCCTGTCATGACAGAATTAATAAAATCCTCATGCTTTTGCATTGGCTGTGGTGTATGAGATGATCTCTGGGGGTGACTCCTTTTCGATTTGGACACTAGAGTCCAACAAGTCAAACACAATCTAAATTAATGTAGACATGCCGGGCAGTGGTGGCCCACGCCTTTAATCCCAGCACTCGGAAGGCAGAGGCAGGCGGATCTCTGTGAGTTCGAGGCCAGCCTGGTCTACAAGAGCTAGTTCCAGGACAGGCTCCAAAGCTACAGAGAAACCCTGTCTTGAAAGAAAAAGAAAAAGAAAGAAATGTAGACATTCCTTGCTCACAGTTGAGTTGATAGATTCCACATTATTAAGATGAATTTTTCAACATAATCTAAACATTCACTATATAATCTTAATAAAGTTCTCATGAAAGTATTTCTGTCTGTAAAGTGAAAGACATATGCCTCAAACTTATAGGGGTCCACCTGTCTCTGACTTCCGAGAGTTGGGATTAAAGGTGTGCACCACCTAACCAGGCCCTTAATAACTTATTCTTAACAAAGTAATCAAATATCATCCTAAGGATTATCTTATAAAGAAATTGTAGCCTCCATCTGCACGTTCTTTCTTCCTCTTACACTGTTTGGTCTGAAGGAAGCCAAATGCCACTTGCTGGGCTGGGCTGTAGAGTGGTCCATGTGAGTGGACCTTAGAAGCCAATTATACAACTCAAAGGGAATTTGCGATGACTAAACCCTGGATAAAAGCTTGACTTAAAACTCATAGTTTCTGGATCCCGGAAATTAAAATAAATTATTGAGATTTTACAGCACTAAACTTTAGAAATTTGTTAAGCAATAATAATAGATAATACACTGCCAGGCACTCAAGCCTTTAATTCCAGTAGTTGGAAGGCAGAGGCAAATGGATTTCTGTGAGTTCAAGGTCAGCATGATCTCATGATCATGTTCTAGGCCAGCAAAGGCTACCTAGTAGAAGCCTGTCTCAAAAACAACAACGACAAAAGCTGTTGATATATAACATCAACAGCTATTAAAGTCACCATCTGGACCTTGAGGAGAGAAAGGTTCATAGGTCAAGTGCTTGCCATACAAGACTGAAAGCCAGAGTGTGGATCCCCAAATCTATAAAAAACCAGGTAGATGGCCACTGTTTTTTTTTTTTCATTGTTTTGTTTGGAGGGATTTGTTTGTTTTAAGGGACAGGGTTTCTCTGTATAGCCCTAGCTGCCCAGAAACTTGCTCTGTAGACCTGTTGTGCCGTGCACCACGCCCCCATGTCTGCGCTCTGTGCACTAGAACCCAGTTTGCGAGCTTCAGGCAAGGGACTGGAGGTTGAGATTACACACGCAGAGACAAACCAACACACGCAGAGACAGGCCGACACACAGACCTTCCAAACGCTGGTTCAGAAAGCCCTGTTTATTAACACCATGTAGTTTTAAATACACTGCAGTCAATGGCCAACAGGTGATAATCCCATCCTCTGATCCTCTAAACTAGGCACAGTTTCTAGTAATTTTAATTAGAAGATTCTAGAAGGGAAGAGCAGCTGAAGACCAGAACTCATTAGTCCCAACATCTAGCTGAAGGCCAGGACTCATTAATCCCAACACTGTTGGCCTGAAACTCAAAGATCTGCCTGCATCTGCCTCCTGAGTGCTGGGATTAAAGGCGTATGCCACTACCAATCGGCTCATGATAGCCACCTTTAATCCCAGCACTCAAGAGATTGAGACTGGTGATCCACAATGGGCCAGGTTCAGCGAGAGACCCTGCCCCAAATAAAGTAGAGAGTGTAAGCGAGGTGCAGGGAAACCATGGAACTGAACCATTCCACAAGTAGAAAAGTAAAAGTTTGCTGGGGATCAAACTGCCACAGCTACTAAAGAGAAAAATGGAGGAAAAGCAAGTGGATTTTATATGACAGTCAGCAGAGTGGATCTTTGAGCTAATGCTGGCTAGTTGGACTGACTGGGAATTAGTTGCTGTTGCTGAAGGTAGTAGATCTGTAAGACTTTAAGACAATTCTGAAGCCATTTTCTGACCTCTCAGCCTCCGTGACATAGTGCTTACCCTCCTCCCCTGGGAACCAAGGACCTAACAGCTACACATGCACGTATGTTCTCCAGAAATTGGGGCAAGATTACCTTTAAGATGTTGACTCAGTTCCTGAACAATTACCCATACACGTATGTTTTGATTCAGTCCCCTGGGAAACGGTGTCAAAATGACTTCTTACCTCATCTGATCTGACAATAGCTCTCCAGCCAATTATTGGTATTAGCCCTTTTTGAATAAGCCAATCATAATGGTCAAAGAACAACCCCCCCCCCTTGCTTCTGTGGCCTTCTCCTTTAAAAGTAGACTGTACCAGCTATTCAAGGTCTCTGGGCTTCCCGAATGCTGAGGGACCCTGTCATCACAGAATTAATAAAATCCTCATGTTTTTGCATCGGCTGTGGTTTATGAGGTGGTCTCTGGGGGCGACTCCTTCTCGGTGTTTGGAATCTAGGGTAAAACAGATCTTTGAGAACAGGATTAAGGGAAGCTTCTAGGTAAACAGAAACCGGGTCTTTAGGTCTGTTTATCCAAAAACAATCCTCTGTTTTCACCTGTCCAAAGTCTTTCTGTTTAGGATATTGTCGCCAGCACTGCTATTTTTAGGGGCCTCTTCTGACCTAACAGAGAGCAATCAAGGAAGACACCTGATGTCAGTGTCTGGCCTCCACACACATCTGCATGAGCACAGGCACTACATGTGAACACATATACCCACAAATATACATACACCACACACACAAAACAAAAAAGCATCATTTTGAGTGGATACACGATGTAAAACAAGTAAATTCTCTTGTCCAAAGAATTGTCACTGCCCAGCAAGAATTTGTATAATCTTTAAAAATCCTTTTATAGCCGGGCAGTGGTGGCACATGCCTTTAATCCCAGTACTTGGGAGGCAGAGGCAGGTGAATCTCTGTGAGATTGAAGTCAGCCTGGTCTACAAGAGCTAGTTCCAGGACAGGATCCAAAACTACAGAGAAACCCAATCTCAAAAAAAAAAAAAAAAAAAAAAAAAAAAAACCACTTTCAAAGCCAGGAAGTGGTGGCTCACGCCTTTAATCCCAGCACTCAGGGAGGCAAGGGCCTCCCTGAATTTGG